ATGCACTTTCAGGTCCATTTCACGAGTGTGATGCTTTGGGTTAGACTCAACAAGTGTTTTCAGGGCATCAATATTAATTCCAAAATGTTGGCCCCTGACATAACAGTTTTTAAGGCTAAAGTTACCTGAATGAAATTTGCTGAACCATTATTCACACTTACGAACTTTCAAAACATTTCCATAAACTTCATTGATATTCTTTGTAGCTACAGTCATTGTTTCCTTTTTTGTATTCAAACAGCATTACATGCCTAATGTGTGTCTCGTCATGTGCCATCACTATAAGGGATTAGAGTATACTGAACTTTGCACATTATATAGGCTACACTAATGTGACAATCAGGCAGTTTGTTTAACTATTATACATGATGTATGTTTTCTGGGGGTGGTTAATGAAAGTGTTCCAAAAAGGCACATTAATTTCTTGATGACCTAATACATAAACCCTGCTACAAAACATTTCACTCTGCACCTGATGATCCCTTTACTGACAAAACCATGGTCATAATAAATGATGTATTTGTGAAACGTACAACTGTACTGTTTTTCTTCAATTATGAAAACTTTTCTTTTACAGTTGCTTATCATCATTCATGGCTGTAACTTCATCAATTAATAAAAAAATATATATTGCATGACAGATAGGCGTGAGAAATTTTTAAAAAATAACTGCTTGTAGTTTGAATTCACGATAGAAATGTAACAAAAATAGGAAAATGATAAATCAAACCTAAGTAACTTAATAAGGATAAAGAAAATCAGGGATAAAAAAGTTTAACAGGTTGAAAACTTTACAGAGCTATAGGTGAGGTTGGTATTTGGTTAAAAACAAAATGGGAACTCAAAAAAGGTTTATGAGAAACCACTGCTTGATAATATTAAATCTTTTGTTGTTGTTATAAGACTGTAGATGAATGAATTTTCTGATTTTCTATTGGAAATATTAGAATTGATCTGAATAATGTACAAACAGAGGTAAGAAGAAAGATGGAGAGAATAAAAATGCATAATTCACTAGGGCCAAACGCAGTTTTTTCCCAAAGATATTAATTGCTGAATAAATATGTCAAACTCAAAGTAATTCATGCTATAAGAAAATAAAAGTTAAAACATTAACTGATTACGTTTTATTCCAGAATTGATATGTTTTTGTTTTTTTTCTATGTGGCATACTTTTGTGTATGTGACTACACAGTGCTTAACTTGTGATGTAATGCTCCAGAACAGCTTTTCAGCACTTTTTTAAAAATAAAATGACCGAATTTTTCAACATTACCAAATATTTTTGTGTAAATATATGCACCAACCTCATCATAATTTTGTACGTTCCACTTCCTTTTTATCAACACATTAAGCACTGAATACTTATATATGAACTGTTGAAATTTTCCGATTTCAAATTCAAACTCCAATGAAACTTAAATATAGGCCTAGCCTCACTATCTTGCGACTCTTACTCTTAGTTTTACTTGAAGTTTAACCCTACCAGAACCACGTATGTAAATCAGGAAGTTGAGTAATGGAAATACACGTCTCCGCACAAGTTACTTTAATTTTAAATATAAATTAAATAATGTTATTTGTGTTTACACAAACGGAGAATAAAAGTATAATTTAGACTTGTTCCTTTGCAATTATTTAACGTTAACTTCGATAGTTATTTTTCTACACAAAATATTACCGTTTTCTTCCACACTTTTCACAGAATCAACATTGTTTTCTTCATCAATTTCATTCTCATTAAGTTCAACTTCATCACCAATAATACCCATTTCTTCCAGTTCTTCTTCTAACGTTTTTTTCCCTACCGGCTTTGCCTTATTGGAAATTTCATCTACATCCTTTTTTGCCGACTTTCCTTTATTCTTTTTAGGCATTTTAAATTATTAACTATCTTACTCAAACTGCAATATGTTTCAAATTATGTACACGAAATTAAAAAACCACATTAGCACTAAGCTCCACAATGACGTAGAGAGTCAACGTGCCTTAAAAGATGGAATGTCTCGCCACCTGCTGTCAGCTTTAAAATGTTTCTATAAATGTGTATTAAAAGTTGTATTCACGTAAAGGATACATTCCGCGGGTGGAGCGGAATTCCGCAGTATACCTGACTTCTATGAAATGCGTCGCCAGCTTTTGGCGTTTAAACCATCGATTTTAAAACGTATAAAATAAACAGCTTACAGAAATAAAAATATAGAATATATGGTACTACACGGCTGTCATTATTCAAGACTGGAATACCATGTTTCAATTGAAAGATTTGATTGAATTTAATGTATTTTAACAAAGAAAAAACAATTAAATAATATATACTTACAAGCATAAAAATTAAAATTAAATAATAAGAAATAAATAAGAAAACTTTGAGATATCCCGCCCACTTTAACAACGAAAATCACAACACTAAAATAAAAACAGAATAAAAAACCCTTAACAATAATAACAAACTATGGCCATACTTAGACAAATCAGATACTTCATAAAACATACAAAATACAAATTAAATAGAGCTTTAAGTCAGGAAAAATCCTTTAGCATTAATTTAATGCATGCACACAAATAAATCATTGAACAACGATACACGGGATAAAAACAATATGACAGCACAAATAAAACAATTCAGATATGATCTCCTGAGAGTGATGCTTGAGCACTGGAATATCCTTTAGCCTAGATTAGTTTGTTATAATCTTTAGTTGCTTTGTAGGAAGCTCTACTCTCAGCCCTTCCTGTGATGTCTCGCGTGGTACTTCTGCTAGTAATACCTTGGTTGTCACAGATCCATACTTCCTTCAGGTCCATACAGTCAATGTCTTTAAGGCTGAGCTGTCAAATATTTGTTGGAGTCCATCCCACTCTCATCTTCCCGAGATTTGGATGTCCCTCAAGACATTCTTAGTGCTGAAAGCCTTTACTTTGGCTAAGAAAAATGGTGGTCCCCTCAAAGACATAAACATATATTTCATTTCCTACTCGTGGTTGTGCTACACACTACGATGAAACATGTCACAAAACCCTTTGGTAGCATCAGCATTAGCACTGACTCCAGACGTTTAGTCATTTGCAAGCTTACACTCTCCAGCTGGAATGGTGAATACTCTGACAGTCTGACACGGGACCTTTCCAGATTTACCAGTGGCATGAGAACCTTCTTCAGTCATCCATCCCAAGTCGGATAGATAAGTAAGCAACATATTTTCATCCATAGGCATGTTAATGGTAAACGTCAGTCTAACAATTTCCACTTGTTCAATGTTTTCACCACTTTCACTGCAGAGGAAGTTTTGAATAGTTTGAAGTATTTGGGAGGGTTCATAGGTAGAGCTGGAAACCATGGTAATACAAGACATCGAAGCACTGGAATATCCTTTAGCCTAGATGAGTTTGTTATAATCTTTAGTTGCTTTGTAGGAAGCTCTACTCTCAGCCCTTCCTGTGATGTCTCGCGTGGTACACTCTAAACATGTTTAACAAGGTAGCTAGCTACCAATGCTTTGTAATTGTTACAGCTCTCAATTGGAAGGTTACATAATATAGTCAAAGCCGGTCCCTTTAAATGGGAAGTAGGACTAAAAACTTAGTCTTAGCTACTGAAATCCAGACTTAAATGCAAAGGTGACTGAACTCCACTCAGTAAACGTCTCAGTCAAGAGATGTTGTAATGTGGAGAGTATGGAATATATGTGTTCCTATTTTACAGTAGGGATGACAGAAGGCAGCATGGTCACAAGGTAGATGGTTAATTGGAACCTCAGTAAAGCCTGGAGTGTGGGAAGTTCCATGAACACATGTTTTATTGGCGAGGTTTGGGGTAAGTGAACACTGAATCTCTACACCTAGCACTTGACCAGAACCTAATGTCAGATATTGTGGTTGTGATTCTAAGCTTGGACTCATTCCTATCCTACTATCTGGTTATCATGTAAACAGACCTTGTTCATGTAGGAAAAGAATGGAGGCGAGGTTTTCATAGGTTCCTACTACACAACTGAGCTTACTTGGGGTAGGTGGTGAGAAATTCACCTTTGAACATATGATTTTCCCAATGCTTCCAATCACTTTCAGAGAAATTCTTCCATTTACAAATTTTGAAACAGTTTTGGTGTGAATTCCAAGGTTTCACTGCATGTGCTTCCTTCTATTACAATTTCAACTTGCATTTTCATGCTTCAGAATAGTATTTTTGTAAAAAAAAAAAAAAAACAAGTCAGTGAAACTATTTGATTAATAAAAATATCCCAATCTGCTTGGTTAGAAATATTTCTATCGCAACCCAGTAAATCACTGGGCACACGATGTGTATATGTTTATTATAATATACAAGCCATTATTTGTGAATTTCATTGTACTACTGATTATTTATCCCACCTATTAATATTTCCACTTGATCAAGTCAAGCCCGGCATGGCCAGGTGGTTAAGGCATTCGACTCACAATCTGAGGGTCGCGGGTTCGAATCCCTATCACACCAAACATGCTCGTCCTTTCAGCTGTGGGGGCGTTATAATGTGACGGTCAATCCCACTATTCGTTG